CACCAAGGACCCTAGCTCTGCCCCACTACGCCCCTCCCAGTCCTGCCAGCGGCCACCTCTGGGACGGAGGGGAACCCGGCGGCCCCCACGGAAGGAACCGGAGGCTCAGCTCTGTCCCCGCGTCCCCCCACCACGCTCCCACCACAGGGACTCACATTTGAGCAGCTGCAGCTGGGTGCCGCCCTTCTTGTGCAGGTAGCCGGCCTTGGCCACGCCCCCGGGCATGGTCAGCAGGTTCTGGGCACCGATGGCCTTCATGGGGACAGGCCAGTGCATCTCCTCGGCCGCCATGAAGCTGCAGTGACAGCAGAGATGTCTCAGCCAGGGGTGGGGATAGCAGGGGCACCACCAAGGTCCTGAGGTCGCGTGAAGGCTCAGGGCAGGAGGGTGAGAAGGCTGCCTTCCGAAGGCCCAGGCTTCCGGGGGGGACCCGGAGACAGGGCGCCTGGCCGCTTGGTCAGCCCCTGGCCCATCTGGCCACATACGGGGCACCCAGGGACCCTGAGAGCTGAGGGTGCTCTTTCATCGTCACTGGTTCACTCAGCTCTCACCTACTGAGCTCAAGGCCCCTGGAGGCTGGGGACAGAAGGAATTCAGGAAACCACCAGCGCAGGAAAGTCAGGCCTCAGGCCATAACCACCCAAGGATAAGTCCCAGGTGAGTCTATAAGGGCCCGCCCTAGACAGGAGATTCAGGGAGGACTCCCAGGAGGAGGTCTGGAGTCATAGCCTGAAGGAGGGAGTTAAAGAGGTTCGGGGCTGGGGCAGGCCCTGGGCACCCTCTACACCAGCTCCGACCTTCAGCAGGGAGGGACATGGCTCCTAGATGCCCACTCTCCACTCCTACCTGCCCTTAGCTGGCTTCTGTCTATCCCTTTCTTTTTTTCTTATTATTTTTGTTTTATTATTGATTTTAGAAAGAGAGGAAGGGGGAAGAGAGAGAGAAAGAAATATCGATTTCTTGTTCTACTTACTTATGCACTCATTCATTATTTGATTCTTGTAAATGCTCTCACCAGGGATCTAACCCACAACCTTGGCATATCAGGACCACACTCTAGCCAACTGAGCTACCGGGCCAGGGACTGCCCATCCTTTCCTTCGGGCCCTGACCAGAAAGCAGAAAAGCAGGTAGCTACCAGCCCCCCAGCTCCTGGGTCAGGCAACCCAGGTTCCTTCCCTGGCTCGGCCTTCCAGGGGATCCTTCAGCCTCAGTTGCTGGGGCTGTAAAATGGGAGGACAGCGCAGATGCAGCTTGGCACACAGCACACCCTCACTCCAGCAGGGACCATACAGGACATGGTCCCAGGTGTTATAAACAGACATGCGCAGAGCAGGGACGATGGGCCAGGTACAGACGCGCACAGGGCAGAAAGCCCCAGATGCCTGGCAGGGGGCAGAACTGGGAAAACAAGACCCTCGCCCCAGGGTAGCCTCTCCTCCCCTCGCTGATCACTGGTCAGGCTGTGTAGACCCTGACCTTTCCCTCCCCCAAGATAACATCTGGGCCTCGGTTGTAAGTCAGCTCCAGGCCCAGGAAAGCAGCAAAACCAGACAAGTGACACGTGGCTGCCTCAGGACCAGCCATTGAGTAATGACCCTGCCCTGGAGCCGACCAATTAGAGGAGACCATGACCTAGAACAGGGGTCCTCAAACTACGGCCCATCCTGGGGTGTTTTTGCGGCTGTGCATAGGAATTTGTTCATAGTTTTGTTTTTGTTTTTTTTAATATATTTTATTGAATTTTTACAGAGAAGAAGGGAGAGGGATAGAGAGCCAGAAACATCGATGAGAGAGATCGATCAGCTGCCTCCTGCAGGCCCCCCAGTAGGGATGTGCCCGCAACCAAGGTACTTGCCCTTGACCGGAATCCAACCCGGGACCCTTGAGTCCACAGGCCCACGCTCTATCCACTGAGCCAAGCCGGTTCGGCCATAGTTTTTTTTTTAAAACTATAGTCCGGCCCTCCAACGGTCTGAGGGACAGTTCACTGTCCCCTGTTTAAAAGTTTGAGGACCCCTGGCCTAGAAAGGGCACCCCTGCAGGGCTGATGGTATTCCAGCAGACCCTCCCCGAGACCTCCCCTAAGATCCCCCAGCAAGAGGGGACAGCTCAGGGCCACGGAAGTCCCTGGGGACAGGCAGGCTGGTTTTTAGTGGTGACTCCGCACCGCCGCAGGGCTGTTATAACTGTCCCGTGGCCCCGCGGGAACGGCTTCCCCACCCCGGGTGGGTCCCCCGCCCCTGTTCCCGTCGGGGTCAGGCCGGCGCC